TGAAGGTTGAAAGCAACACTTTCTGTGAAGGTGAAGGTTGAAAGCAATACTTTCAGNAAGCAATACTTTCTGTGAAGGTGAAGGTTGAAAGGAATATTTTCTGTAAAGGTGAAGGTTGAAAGCAATATTTTCTGTGAAGGTGAATGTTGAAAGCAACACTTCCAGTGAAGGTGAATGTTAAAAGCAACACTTCAAGTGAAGGTGAATGTTGAAAGCAACACTTCCAGTGAAGGTGAATGTTGAAAGCAACACTTCCAGTGAAGGTAAATGTTGACAGCAACACTTCCAGTGAAGGTGAATGTTGAAAGCAACACTTTCAGTAAATGTGAAGGTTTCAGTGTATATGAAGGTTAAAAGAACACTTTCTGTGGAGGTGAAGGTTGAAAGCAACACCTCAAGTGCATGTAAAGGTTAAGCAACACTTTCAGTAAATGTGAAGGTTTCAGTGTATATGAAGGTTAAAAGCAACACTTTCTGTGAAGGTCACGGTTGATCAGTTATACCAGAAGAGTCTTGCTAAGTTGATAAATCCCTGGATGAGTTCCTCAAGCCACTTGAAGTAATTACATTACTCAACAGGAATTGGTAGATTGAGGCAAGAACAATGTTCAATACCCATTATCCATCTGAGTGACCTTCACTACTCAATAATAGTGTTCAATGACAATAATGCCAAAAATGATTACCGTATAAATTGATTTTGGCCGTCTCCAGTTTTTTCTTTTGTACCAAAGCTACCACGTGTCATTTCGTTCTGGGAGAAAAAATAAACACATATCAACTTAAACTAAAAACACAATAAGGATATGGCAACAGACTGTGAGCAATGCATGGTCCCCTATCAAATGTTTGAAAAATAAACAAAGAGCCGTAACTCTATGAAAATGAAGGCAATACACCCAATTCTAATATCGGACACTTTGTCACCCAAAGAGATACTTGAATGCCAAATTTGGCAACTGTAGGGGACAGAGTATATGAACATTATGACCCAGACAAAATAATTGACGGACAGAAGAATTTCCAGATGGTGTGCTAACCTACAGTCTGGTCTAGTAGTACATATGAAGACTAATATCATATACAGGTATGTATTTGTTACATTTTTACCAGTGAACTACACATGTACAATTGATAACATTTCTCTACACAATTCTTACCTGATAATAACAGCCATTCAGGTTTTGTTTATTTCATTTTTATTATTTCTCTTTCATTAAAGTTCTGCAGGGTTTGGTGTTATTTTCAAAAATGATTCATTAAAGCTAATGTCATGAAGGTAAAGAAGAGTTCCAACTCAAATTTACAGTTTTTGGCAGTGGTTTGAGCATCCTTAAGGATTGTACGTGTTACTGTGCTATTTATGTGATGTTGGCAATGAATATCTTTGGCTAAGGATTAGAAATATTAAGCACACTTTGGCCTGTTTTATGTATACTTACAGGAATAACTTTTTCTTCGTTGACCGTCACTTTGATTTCTGTCTGCAGAGTCTGTAAGACAGTTCCGTTGTTGTGGGCAGGCGTGGGACGCCGTGACTTGAGCACCCCCGACTCCACTTCCTGCCCTCTCTTACCACCAACAGTGGCCACTGGGCGGTCAATTGTCACCTCAGGGGGGCCCTTCTTCTCTACTGTCAAAACACAGGGTCGTATCAGGCAAAACAGACAAGTGTGTGTCTCTATTGTCAAAACATAGGCTTGTATCAGGCAAAACAGATCCTAGACAATTGTTTCTACACGTCTCTATTGTCAAAACACAGGGTTGTATCAGGCAAAACAGACAAGTGTGTGTCTCTATTGTCAAAACATTGGCTTGTATCAGGCAAAACAGACAATTGTTTATCTCTAATGTCAGGACACAGGGTTGTACCAGGCAAAACAGACAAGTGTGTGTCTCTATTGTCAAAACATAGGCTTGTATCAGGCAAAACAGACAAATGTTCTTGTCTACTGTCAAAACACAAGGGCTTATCAGGCAAAACAGAGAAGTGTGTGTCTCTATTGTCAAAACATAGGCTTGTATCAGGCAAAACAGACAAATGTCCTTCTCTACTGTCAAAACACAGGGTCGTATCAGGCAAAACAGACAAATGTGTGTCTCTATTGTCAAAACATAGGCTTGTATCAGGCAAAACAGACAAATGTCCTTCTCTAACTGTCAAAATACAGGGTCATATCAGGCAAAACAGACAAATGTTCTTCTCTACTGTCAAAACACAGGGTCATATCAGGCAAAACAGACAAATGTGTGTCTCTATTGTCAAAACATGGGCTTGTATCAGGCAAAACAGACAAATGTTCTTCTCTACTGTCAAAACACAGGGTCATATCAGGCAAAACAGACAAGTGTGTGTGTCTATATATTGTCAAAACATGGGCTTGTATCAGGCAAAAAAGACAAATGTTCTTCTCTATTATCAAAACACAGGGTCGTATCAGGCAAAACAGACAAGTGCGTGTCTCTATTGTCAAAACATGGGCTTGTATATCAGGCAAAACAGACAAATGTTCTTGTCTAATGTCAAAACACAGGGTCGTATCAGGCAAAACAGACAAATGTGTGTCTCTATTGTCAAAACATGGGCTTGTATCAGGCAAAACAGACAAATGATCTTCTCTACTGTCAAAACACAGGGGCATATCAGGCAAAACAGACAAGTGTGTGTCTCTATTGCCAAATCATAGGCTTGTATCAGGCAAAACAGACAAGGGTGTCTCTATTGTCAAAACATAGGCTTGTATCAGACAAAACAGACAAATGTTCATCTCTACTGTCAAAACAAAGGGTCGTATCAGGCAAAACAGACAAGTGCGTGTCTCTATTGTCAAAACATAGGCTTGTATCAGACAAATAAAAACAAATGTTCTTCTCTACTGTCAAAACACAGGGTTGTATCAGGCAAAACAGACAAATGTTCTTCTCTACTGTCAAAACACAGGGCCATATCAGGCAAAACAGACAAGTGTGTGTCTCTATTGTCAAAACATAGGGTCATATCAGGCAAAACAGACAAATGTTCTTGTCTACTGTCAAAATACAGGGAAGTATCAGGCAAATCAGACAAGTGTGTGTCTCTTTTGTCAAAACATAGGGTCGTATCAGGCAAAACAGACAAGTGTGTGTCTCTATTGCCAAATCATAGGCTTGTATCAGGCAAAACAGACAAATGTTCTTGTCTACTGTCAAAACACAGGGTCTTATCAGGCAAAACAGACAAGTGTGTGTCTCTATTTTCAAAACATAGGCTTGTATCAGACAAAAAAGACAAATGTTCTTCTCTACTGTCAAAACGAAAGGGCGTATCAGGCAAAACAGACAAGTGTGTGTCTCTATTGTCAAAACATAGGTTCTTATTCAGATCAATTTTGAAAAAGGCAGATAATGTGGGGGATATTTGCCAAATGATTTCATTAATGAAATAGAAAATGGTCAAATTAAAACAGCACATACATGTATGAGCAAACAAACTGAATCATAGACATAAGCATAAGATCAGACATACTAAACATAAAGTCAAAGATAAAGGGTGGGATTAATTAGCTAGTTGTAGAACTTAACAAGTATTTACAGTACATATTCAAAGCTTGATAAAGGAAGCAATAAAATCACACTGTTATTAATATACCATTAATTTCTCCCGCCTCTACCTATGTGAGATACACATCCCACACAGAACAGTCACGTGGGGAAAGATTATATTAATCTCACATATGTGCAGTCAGTGACATTTACTATCAAGAGGTTACTATGATCAGATGACACTATATTTTAATGTCACAAATGAAGCCTGTTAAAACGTCATTAATCTGTGACAAAGTTGGTGTCAGCACCTGACATTACCAAATGATTGTAAGAATTATTGCACAAGATTGACCTAAAGGTCTTGTGTGACTCTTTGAGTTTGAAGTATATACCCACAGTAAGCCTGTAAATACACTTTTTTTGCTTTTTCCAATTATGGCCTTGTTTGTGAATACCTGATATAAAGTGTTTTTAAATAGTTCTGCATTGTCTATTTAATGTCACAATAATTTTGGGTAAGAGGTGGGAGAAACAGTGTCCATCATTATGTAGGTATGTGTGATATAAACATTCTACACTACACCACAGAAAGCCTCACTTCCTAACCAAATTCAACACCCTTGATGCGGAATATCTATATCCCACATAACTGTGTACCAAGGGAGATAATCTTGTGTGTCCAACATGGTGGTCTGGAAAAAATCGTTGATCTTTCCTTGGAAAAAAACCCTTCAAAATACTTACACCTTTGTAATTTGTGCACCCCCAACATTTTACATTTTTATTTCTCAAGGAAAAGTGTGCAAGTTCCATGAGTTGTTATGGTTCATATGGCAGACTCTGATAATATTTTACTGATGTTGATTCAGTGACTTACTGCTTGTCTTTTTCTTGTCCTTGGACACTTTGTTGCGTTTAGCTTTAGGGTCAGAGTCCAAATCTGTCATGCTGTCGTCCCTGGAGTGATGCTTGCTTCTACCGCACCCCATTTCCCCTGTGGGTAGCAACATGGAGTCCGCTCACACGTTCTAGATATAGCTCCTGTCACCGAACCCTTCGTACAACACACATTATCTCCCCTTGTCAGCTTTGGCACTAGGAGGTGTTTTAGCTAGAGCGTCATTTTGGAATTGAATCTTCATGAACGAGGAATTCTCAGGAAGCCATTGCTGTGAGAAGTTGCCCACGCTTTATCTCTCCCACAGGAATCTGTAAAAGAAATTGTGTGATGTTGACTGCTACATCTCATATAGGCTTCAAATTAAACCTTTTTTTTATGTATTTATTTTATAACTATCATGAAACAGATTCTATTAACTTTTTCTTTACTACTCTTGTTAGCCTAGATGATGGTGTGTAGGGGTTTTTAATGTCAGATGAATCTGGAGTCTCCAGAGAAAACCAACTACATGTAGGTTCGGCAAGTAACCCCATACTATTTCACCCCCGATTTGGGAATTAAACCTGGATGTCTTGTCGAAAAGTAGGTGTGCTACCCACTGCATCACTCGACAAACCAAAATGATATATCTAATATTCCATACAGCGAATCATTGAGTTCATCTGATAAAGTTTGAATAACTGTATTTACTATTTGTGTTTATCTAGCTATAGGTTACGTAGTCTAAATATGGTATTTACTATTTGTGTTTTTATTTACTTTTTGTGTTTGTATTTACTTTTTGTGTTGGAGTAGCAGTAAGTTTGTATTAATACTGTATCCGTCTTGCTATATTCTGTGAATGTGTCCTACACTAGTGATTGATAAATCTGTCAGCAGAGGAGAGCCCATCCTTAGGCTAACCCAATCTCACAAGTAGCGGAAATATGAAACATACATTTTCAAATTACGATGAACGCACAATAAAAAGACGTTCCAGAGGGATTACTCAAAGTTCCAAACAACATTGGCTTACCAAAGTTTTAATATGAATTTCACATTGAATAACATTCGTATCAAAATATTTTCAAGTCGATATGACCTTTTGAAATACAGGAATTTCTGGACAAAACACTTCAAATAATGTAATGTCAAAGAATTTCTTTGAAACCATGGTAGCCTGACAAAGCTTTGAAGGGCCTTCAGCGCTCCTCACAGACCTACTATAACTAGCTTTCATCAAATCAAAGAGAGATTATTTGGAGAACGGAGACAAGTGAAGCACCTTCCCTACTATAGCTGGAGTGCTAGTAGCAGAAACTGCATCAATTATGTACCTCCTTCCGGCTTCAAATCAATACAGTTGCCTCTAAAACATACTTTTTTTGGTACCGAGTAATCTCTCAAAATTTGTAGTATCATGTAGTATAGGTACTGCTTTTGTGTTTGAAGGTAACCTGGTTGTAGAATACAGAGACTTAGTGTTACAATGTCGTCGAGTTTGCTTGAAAATGAACGTTATAAAATACTTCAACAAATGATGAACAATGAAACCAGCAAAAATGAGAATTCAATATTTTTTTCTTTCGTAAAGCTAACTAGTCAAAATATCAGTCCTATATCACATTGAAATCAGCATTATTCAGTGCTGTAGTTGACTGTCTTAACCCTTTCATTACTGTAGACCATAATGGACCCCTCCATTTCAATGCATGGTAGAGTCTACTAAAGTTACATCATAGGGGTGAAAGGGTTAAAGGTGTAGCACTACTGTCACCATACACTGTAGTGTTTAGGGGAGTGGGAATCGTACAACCTTACTTTGACTGCATTTACACTGGGAAAGTTATCCGTGTTTCAACCTGTGTTATTTTCGCCCTTCACATGCAATTTCATACATATTATGCTTTGCTGCCATACACTGCACACAGTGTTTAAGGAAAACATTAGGAATCATACAACCTTACTGTGACTAGATAAAAGTCTTCCTTCAATCAGTGTAAATTTCGTCCTTCATATACAATTACTATATATAGTACGCTTTGTACTAATATTTTCTGTCATGATAAATTTGCACTCATTGCAGAGGGCGAAATGCATGGCTGAAAGTTAGTTAGCAGCAAAAATGTCCTTGTATACAGAAGTATTATAACAAGGTATAGTATCAAGAAACACATCCTTGATATATATTCTTAGTCATTAAAACTTGGTCAACTGATCCAGTTTCTAAAACAAACTCACCTGGCCATTAGTCACAGGTTCTTGTTCCTATTCTGACTAACTTAACTTTTTGTTGTCACCAGCTGTAAATTTTAACCTGGGAAACCTGTAAGTGTTATTGTAAACTGCCTCCAGCTGATTTTTTTTTTTTTACTCCCCTTCCTAAAACTGCACATTATTGACACAGTTAAGTAATGCATGTTTGGTATATATTTTCATTTTGAACATGCAGGCAGAGTTTATTTCATGGGGAATGAACATATTACCTGTGTTTTGATTGTAATCAGTCAGAATATTTAACATATTTGGTAAGTAACTATTAAGGTTTTTGAAATGTTTATACACACATAAAAATCATATCCTTCTAAAACATAACATCGTTTCCTCTTTCTATGAACATGTTCATACAATATGGGCTTTTAATTAAATATTTTTATACAATTTGGACTTTTAATCATATATCTTAGAGAAAAATATGAAAAGAGTTTCATTTGTAAATTTATGAGTTAAATTGTAGTTGGTGTTTATAAAATGATTTATAAATCCAATCTGAAATTTAAATCTTCACAAACATTTAATAAATTAATAAATTCAGGGTTTCATAAACCTGTATATTCATGCAACAGCATTTAAGTCATCTAAAGGATTATTTTGTCTCTAGGGGGTATATACCTACATTTTATTTAGGTTTAACTTTTGAGCATGCAGAATCTCCCCCATATGGAAATTTCAAACAGTTGGCAAGTATGAAGATGCATTGGATGTGAATTAACAGTCAAAAAACAGTCCTATATATAGTACATCACATGACAAGTCATAGTCGTAAAGAAACAAAACACCATGCAGTTAAAATCATGTGAGCAGTCAACGTCATATGGTAGCAAACATTGGCATGTAATTACGTTTAGTAATTTTAGGAGGAAAACAGTCAAAACTGCTTAATTTATATACAATTACTTTGAGAGGCAGGTAACAGTAGACCATAGGATGTGTTAGTTGCTGTGATTGTTACCAGACTCTGTATAATTGTATATCAAACAGTTTTGATGGTTTTCCTTCTAAAATTACTTATTGTAACACGCCAATTTTCGCTACAGTATAAGTGTTGACTCAGTATGCCAGGTCCCAACTCCTCGGGAAAACAGTGCCGACTGTAAACTGATAAGGCATGGACAGACTTGTTTAAACTGTTGGACTTATTGCCAGAGAGAATTTCAAATCCATTTTCATTATTCCTAAAACACTGGTAAATTGTCTTGACAGATTGCAAGACTGCAGTGGTTAACATATTTTATTAACCAGAAAGGGCTAGAATGGAGGAAGAACGGATAGCTTGGGGGTCCTGAAATTTACATTTTAAATAAAGCCCCTGATGATCTTTCTTTTCATGCATTGAAATGAACTGTAGTACCTCTGAGTCACGAGAGGAAGGTTTTTGAAATATTGGTTAATTTTCCCTTTGGGGCCCCGCCCTGGCCCCAGGGGTTGGGGTAGGAATCTCAATTTTACAATTTGAAACCATCTTCCTCCAAGGATAATTCTCACCAAGTAAAATAATTTCCTACAGAAAATTGTCAAATATACCCAAGTGTTATTTCCCTATATAAACTTTAGTAAACTTTACCCCCTCCCCATGGGAGAACGGATAGCTTGGGGGTCCTGAAATTTACAATTTAAATAAAGCCCCTGCTGATCTTTCTTTCTATGCAGAGAAAATGACTGTAGTACCTCCGAGTCTGGAGAGGAAGATTTTTGAAATATTGGTTAATTTTCCCTTTGAGGCCCCACCCTGGTCCCAGGGGTTGATGTAGCAATCCCTATTTTACAATTTTGTAGCCTCATCTACCAAGGATGATTCTGAACAAGTTTGAAAAAAAAATCCATCCAATGGTTCTTGAGAAAAAGTTGAAAATGTAAAAAGTTTTATGCATGTTGCACGACGGACGACGGACGACGACGGACGGAAAGCGATTAGAATAGGTCACTTGAGCAAAGCTCAGGTGACCTAAAAACCAAGACGACCTGAAGTTATTACCACAACTCTGTTGTTCCATCAAATAATTCAGGAAGACAAAGACGACCCAAAGTTTGACAGTTCTGTTGTACCATTATATAATTAGAGTTAAAACCAAGATAACCCAAAGTTCGCTTGATCTTTTAAGCATATCAGTGCCTTTCACACCAGCCTCTTTATTGAAGGCAAGAGGCAATTTCCTGTTCTCTAGAAACTTAACACAATCCGCTGTGGTGTTTGGCATGTTCGACAGATTATTAGAGACAGTCAAGTAATAATCACAGATATATTGGGTTCTAATGCTCAAGTCAGTCAAAAGCCGAGCACATGATTTCAACAGCAGTACTATGAGCAAAATTCCTGTTGGCTCAATATTTTACACACTGGTGACAAAGAGTTGATAACAAAGAACTCAGTACTGTCTACAAACATAAACAAATCATAAACCTTTATTCAATTTAGTGCTAGACTATCGATCATACTCATGATACTTTAAACAGGAAATGAAATTCTGATACACAAGCTGCAACAGTACTGAGTTGGTAGATATACTGTATTTAGCATGTACACAGCTAGCAGGAAATCTTTTGAATTAAACTTTTAACTGTATATATCACAAAGTCGGGGTGAGTTTAGTATGCCAGTGAGCTATAAAAATATATGAATCCATTACAAGGTTAGGTAAGAAGGAGTATTGTATAGAAGGAGTATTGTATAGAAGGAGTATTGTATAGAAGGAATATTGTATAGAAGGAGTATTGTATAGAAGGAATATTACATATCTGTGTGAGCTTTGGATATCTATCCTGTATAAGGTTGGAGGGAGTGATGTATATATCTCAAAGACCTACTAATATGCATGAATCCATTACAAGGTTAGGTTAGAGAGAATGTTGTATATCTGAATGAACTATAGGTATCTTCTTCTCAAGGTGGGAGGGACTGTGGTATATCTGGATGAGCTATACATAATAATTCTTTAAGGAACGTACGTGTCAAGATCCTTCGCAGAATTGCTGAAGATATCTGTCATTCTAATATATTACATATCACTTCATATCAATCTAGGTTAAATATTAGATGTCTTTCCATTAC